GGCTGCCGCAGCACTTCCGGGAACGTCACGTGCCCTGGACGCGTTTCGTCTCTTCTGGACTTTGTCAACAAGGATACGGACATAAGGTTCCAGTTCTTTAAGTACCCACTCCTAACCTGGCGGAAATACCTCAGCAGCCATCTTACAAAGTGGAAAATTGAGATGAATGACTACCACAGCTGATATACCATGCTAGATAGTCATCCCCACCCCATAGCTCTCATCCCTAAGTTAACCTCAAGCCATACTTCAGTCCCAAGGATAATTAAACCACCTGCAGCCATTTTGGAAACTGAAAGAACAATTTTAAATAACCATAAGGTCGGGGGTAACACCACCCCTTCACCATTGATTACAAAAATCTACAAATAATAAAATCATTCACAAAAATTATAAAATATTAAAGAATATAAGAAGTACATGCTAAAAAATCTAAATAAAAATAAAATAAAATGAAGATAAAAAAAAAAAAAAAAAAAAAATTATTAAAAAAAAAAAAAAAAACTAAATTAAAATTACAAATCAGAAATAAAACAATTTAAATCCAAATCAATATTAAGACCCCTAGGTTTCAAGGTATTAAGTTTAAAGATCCAAAAAGTTTCATTACGGGATATTTCCTGTACTTTATTACATCCCCCCTCCAATGAGTATCAAGAATATCAATACCACAAAAACTCAGAACACTAGGATACTTGGTCTGTTTGTGAGGTCCTGAGGAACAAGAGGATACCAATCTAAGGACACTCTGTACATATGTGGTTGATTACAAACTTGAATTTGTTTGTTTTAGGGTAATTATGCACTTTATATATAGTTTGCAGTGATATTTAAAATTTAATTTTTTTTTTTTTTTTTTTTTTCTCTCACATGAGTGCTGTGACACTGGAGTGTTTTTTTTTTTTGCATGATACACGTGTGGCACTTTAGTTCTGGGATTTAAAAGGTAATATACTATGTTGAGATTTTGTTTTTTGAGGTATTTGAAGAGCACCTGTGATTGATTTGCATCTTCTTCAGTGGAGTAGGAAGCGTCTTCCTATCAAGAAATTGATCTTTGTTTGGACACATTATTTGGACACTTTGCATATTGGGACTTTATTTATTTTTGTTCTTTTATATATATTTGATATTTTTTATTTTTTGGGTAATCTCTTTGAGTTTTGACCTTTTCACTATAATTGTGGGTTTTTGGGTTTAAGTCAATGAATATATATTATATTTATTACAGTGTTGAACAAAAATTAAAGGAACACTTTGAAAACACATCAGATCTCAATGGGAAAAAAATCTCCTGCTGGATATCTATACTGATGTGGCCTGGGTAATGTGTTAGGAACATAAGGATGCCCCATCGTTTGATAGAAATAAAAGTGATCAACCTACAGAGGGACTGAATTCAAAGACACCCTGAAAATCAAAGTGAAACAAATTATACAGCAGGTTAGTCCATTTTGCTGAAATTTCATTGCAGCAACTCAAAATGGTACTCAGTAGTTGATATGGCCCCCACGTGCTTGTATGCATGTCTGACATCGTCGAGGCATGCTCCTAATGAGACAACGGATGGTGTCCTGGGGTATTTCCCCCCAGATCTGGACCAGGGCATGATTGAGTTCCTGGACAGTCTGAGGTGCAACCTGGCAGCGCTAGATGGACCGAAACATGATATTCCAGAGGTGTTCTATTGGATTTAGGTCAGGCGAGCATGGGGGCCATTAAATGGTATCAATTCCTTCATCCTCCAGGAACTGCCTGCATACTCTCACCACATGAGGCCAGGCATTGTCGTGCACCAGGAAGAACCCAAGACCCACTGTACCAGCGTAGGGTCTGACAATGGGTCCAAGGATTTTATCCTGATATCTAATGGCAGTCAGGGTGCCATTGTCTAGCCTGCAGAGGTCTGTGCGTCTCTCCATGGATATGCCTCCCCAGACCATCACCGACCCACCACCAAAACGGTCATGCTGAACGATGTTACAGGCAGCATAATGTTCTCCATGGTTTTGCCAGACCCTTTCATGTCTGTCACATGTGCTCAGGGTGAACCTGCTCTCATCCGTGAAAAGCACAGGGCGCCAGTGGTGGACCTGCCAATTGTGGTGTTCAATGGCAAATGCCAATCAAGCTCTATGGTGCCAGACAGTGAGCACACAGGGTCACCCTCGTGAAGTCTGTTTCTGATTGTTTGGTCAATGACATTCACACCAGTGACCTGCTGGAGGTCATTTTGTAGGGCTCTGGCAGTTCTCATCCTGTTCCTCCTTGCACAAAGGAACAGATACCGGTCCTGCTGATTGGTTAAGGACCTTCTACGGTCCTGTCCAGCTCTCCTAGAGTAACTGCCAGTCTCCTGGAATCTTCTCCATGCTTTTGAGACTGTGCTGGGACACACAGCACACCTTCCGGCAATGTCACATATTGATGTGCCATCCTGGAGGAGGTGGACTGCCTGTGCAACCTCTGTAGGGTCCAGGTATCGCCCCATGCTACCATTAGTGACACTGACCCTAGCCAAATGCAAAACTAGTGAAAAACAGTCAGAAAAGATGTCAGTGGCCTCCACCTGTAAAACGATGCCTCTTTTAGGCATCTCACTGTTGCCCATCTTGTGCACCTGTTAATTTTATTAACAACAAAGCAGCTGAAACTGATTAACAACCCCCTCTGCTACTTAAATGACCAGATCAATAGCCCAGGAGTTTCATTGACTTGATGCTATACTCTTATTAAAAAGTGTTCCTTTCATTTTATTGAGCAGTGTGTCTGAGATATATATATATATATATATATATATATATATATATATTTTATTCTTGGTGTTTGCTGCAATGACTTTCATGCCAAAAAAAGTATACATTTTACAGGCATGGATGTTTTAAAATGTTTTAATTGATCAGTTCTCGCAGACCAAAACCTCAGTTGACAACATGTTTCCTTATGTACTGTAAGGCCTATGAGGCATTTCTTAGGTCCTCAACTGGTTAAAGATGGTGCAACTCAAACAGGTTGTACCAATGTTTTCTAATTGGCCCATGGTGTCTCTCAGCTGAGCCTACTATCTGCCAGTCTGATACCTCGATGTGGATCTTTTGAAAGCGAACATGTATGCTACAACTATTTGCCTTGAGCCTGTCTACATCGCGCTGTTACTGTACTGAGACATGACAGCAGGTGTTTGCTTACAATCAGTCAGCACCGGATGACAGTACTCCCAGATGATCTGGATTGACATCCACTATGCACCAATGAGTCTGGTTAGCCTGGACGGGCGTGTGTGTGAGTGTGTCAGTACAAGGACAATGACAGAGTTTGAGTTTATAATATCACCAAAGGTAATATACTTCTAGCAAGTATAGCTATTTTCCAGTGTCCATGTACATGACTGTACATTTGGGGCCCATTACAGCCAATGCAAAGAGGATGAATACCACTTGACTTATGGAGATCATGGATCACCTTTATTAAAATATGTATTTCCAGCGATTTACCAACTAACATAAGGGTTGTTTGTTTAGTTTGCACACATGAACCCAGTTTTACTGTTGTCTCTTTTACCTCTGAAGCTTGGGTTTGCAACACAATCATCAAACAAAAGCAATGCCCCTGGTACATCTGCCTATAGAGTGGCTACACTGCCATGCAGGGACTCCCTGAAATCACCCTGGCATGCGTGCATGCTCCTGGTCTACTAAGGTTTGGGAGGAAGGACCACTACCAAAGAAGGCACATATGCACAGTATGGGCTAGGCACTACTAATCATCAGACATTTATCCCCTTGCTAGATGGTCATCTAACTCTACTAGGTGGGCATGCATTTGCGAAGACAAAGAGAAGGGGAGACTGGGAGCATGAGGCAACATGGAGTCACAAATCAGGAGATCACCAGATGCTGCAGTGACTGCTCCTAGAACATCTAGATCAGGGGAACTCACTGCAGTGTCTCAGATTTGTGCTTCTCAGTTCTGCTGACTCTACATCAAAGTGCTTGCATTTGATGTAAATATTGTACTTGGGAAAGTTTCCCTGGTTGGTTAGCCATTCAAGTAATTTGGAGCATTTATTACAACTTTAATAAGCTAGTTTTAATAAGGGAAAAGCAATACTCACCAGTTCAAATATATACAAAGGAATTTTTTTTTAGCAAACTCTATAACAGATACTTGGTTGTGCACTTGTTGACAGTGTATACTAAGCTGAAGAGTCCACCTACCAAGTAGTAAGGGAGAAGGGGAGAACCCTGAGGTATATTTATCACAAGATAAGTAAACTCTTCATGCTTATGACCTTCTTCCTTACTACCTGGTGAGCCAATGACCTGAACAAGCATAGGTGGTTTGAGGTTCAGTTCACATATGAGCGGTTCTGCGTACCACATTTGCACAGGCAGAGCAGACCATTCATTAAAATGGCCTGCTGTGCCTGCAATTCCTGAAGGAAATAGACCCCTGCACCTTTTTTAAAATGTGGTTCTCAGACGTGCATGATGCTTTGGCACCTCATTTTTTAAAGCGCTTTTTTCCTAAAAGTAGCATGGTTTTGTGCAGCTACGGGAATGCGTGCGATTTACAGGCACAACTGCACAAATGTGAACCTAGCCTAATAGACATGATCTATTACTTGGCCCCATAACAGATGTGTTGGGAACACATGATCTGTATAATTACAAATCTTGAGGGAAGGTGTTCACAGATAACCAATTTAACAAATACATGTTACATTCCAATAATATCCTGAAGACACAGACTATAAGAGGCCCAAGCAACTGGATTAAACTGGAACTCCAGTCAAATTATCCAAAAAAACATTAATTTATTTGGATAGATTTGAGAGGGCTTAGTGCTGCTTTCAAGTTTTTATAACTACATATCACCCTCCCCTTCCCCAAGAACTACAAGAAAATAACATTAAACAAAAGTGCTGGTGAGCAAAACTGCTTCCATTCTACAAGAAGTGTAAAATTACATTTTGGCTAGGTAAAGTACATTTTACCAACCTAAAATCTGGTAAGCTCAGCTGAAGTTTCTTTCGTGCTTTATTTCTTGTTATGTAGTTGGTAGCAGAGCCACTTTCATACTGAAAGAGATAAAATGCATTTGAGCAAATCATATTATTGCGAGACAAAGATGCAGACAAGAGTTGACATTCAAAACCATTTAATCACTGAGGACTGCTACATTAATATAAGGTTAGGTTCGCCTATGATGATTCATGGTACAGTGTACGTTTCTGCCATGAAATCTGGAGCAGCCCCCAGAGACCTCACATCCTTTAACAACTTCTATGATGGTTCTAAGAAATACACATGAGTTTGTTCTCTCCCTGCTTTTGGGTGTACGGTGATCTGCCTCCTTTCACTCTCCAGAGCTCTCTGAATCCTATACTTTCCTGCCATTAATATTGTACTCATTCCATCACAATAACATGTATGAGCTCGGCCCAGGGGAGCCAGAGCTGGACAACAGCAGTAACAAAGTACTTTGTGTGAATGGCCTGGGGGGGATGAGGGAGACACTGGCTCTGACTGAGATCATGCCCTGTCACCTGGTTGTTCCTGTCTCCATTGATGTTTGAGTAGGATAGCAACCCATGATACTCTAAGTTTCAAGAGTTCTAAAGCAAAATTTGACAGTTTGCCGTGAAATTTTGCACACTGTTACGCGGGGTGCCCTGGAGAGAAAAAAAAAAAAAAAAAAAAAAGCTGATCCAGATGGAGTTTCTTTTACACAAAAAAGTGAACGTAACTCCACTTGTACCTCCTTTAGGCTTAAAAGAACTTGACAGAACACAAGCAATTTAGAAGGAAGTGCTGATCTTAGTAAAGCAGTTTCCTACAAGTGTACAAACTGATACCGGATGAATACTACCTCCAATATTGCTTTGGATTTTGTTGCTCCTCCGTTTGATGAAGGGTCCCACCTGTCATCACAGAGAGTTTGCACGGTCCATGTTCCATCCACATCCTCTGCCTACTGCGCAGATGAACTGCTCACCCATTAAAATTATGCCCACCAAGAGTAAGGCCTCTGCCAAAGCAATTAACAGAGCAAGGGATGTGCATTCGCAAAAAGGCACAGGGCACAGCTGGCACATTTTTTATGCAAAGGCCAGTGCCTTACAGTGAAAGTTTCTACGGAGGGGCTGAAGGTAAGTACTCACCTTTGTATGAAACAGAGAGGGAAGAAGTAAATCACAACTTCACTGAAGAAAATTAGAAAACAAAAATGCCTGGGGTTGGATTCACATTATTCCAAGTGCATGCATGGTAACACACGTGTAGGTGTGGATAGGCTCTTTGTCTTTTCCACTAAACCGCAATGCATAGATGTGAATCAGGCACATAGGAAAGAATGGGATTTCTACTTGATATGCATTTCAATGCAGCAAAATGCAAGAATTTCGCTGCATCCAAACACACAAGTGTAAACAGGCCCTAACATGTATGTATAGCCAAAACTGTCTTTTTTGTGTCCCACTGCAGAGATTTAAAGCGGAGCTCCACCCAAAAAGGGGAAGTTCCGCTTTAAGCCTTTGTCCCCCGCACCCCATTAAGGATTGGCATCTTTGGGAAGTGAGGGGTACCCGTATTTTAAAGGTACCCGCTCCCACTTCCGCTGCGATTGCCTAGGCGACTGGAAGCGGAAGTTATCCCCTCCGTATTCTTCTGGGACACGTGACAGGTCCCAGAAGACTACAGGACCTTTCATGAAGGGCAGTGCTACTCGCGCATGCGCAGTGGGCACCCGACTGTGAAGCCGCAAGCTGTCACAGCCGGGTGCCCACACTGAAGATGCCGGTGCCAGGGAGAGAAGACAGCCGGTGAAACCAGCGGTGGTGAGGAAACCGCAGGACTGAGGGACAGGCAAGTGTCTGTATTTTAAGATTCAGCATCTACAGTTTTTGAAGTTGCTGACTTTTATTTGTTTTTTTTCAGGTGGAACTCTGCTTTAACTTCATTTCCTGTTCCAGAGACAACAGGAAACGAGAAAATAAACCTGCAAAGTGAGGGGAAAATCGCAGATGAAATCATCATCACTAAAAGATCTCCCCTCACCCCGTTCCTTTGACAACTTTTTAGATTTCCCATCACTTTTTGCAACAATGTTCACCAGGATAAATAGGGTAAAGGGATGCAAACAGCAATAAAATATTGACAGTGCTATAGTCTTCTCCCGCTCTGTATACAAAAAAAAGTTTTGCTAATACACATGCTTTAAAGTAAAATTGAAGGCAAAACTTTTTTTACTTCCATTTTTGTAGAGTAAAGGAGAGTTATAACTCCTGTCAGGTCTTTGTTTACCATCTGTGTCCCACTAGTCTGATTTCCATTTACTTTCTTTCACAGCCAAACAGGACATTAAAATAAATAGCTCCAAAGTGCGAGAAATCCCTAGTAGTCACCAGAACCATAGGGTTATAACCCTTGCCAGGTTTTTTACCACCTGTGTTCCATTATACAGATTTCCATTTGGTTCCTGTCACAGCCAAACAGGACATTAAAATAGCTCCAAAGTGAGGGAAATCCCTAGTAGTCACCAGAACCAGAGGGTTATAACCCTTGCCAGGTTTTTTACCACCTGTGTTCCATTGGACAGATTTCCATTTGCTTTCTGTCACAGCCAAACAGGACATTACAAGAAATGGCTCCAAAGAGAGGGAAATCCCTAGTAGTCACCAGAATGAGTGTCCCCATTTGAAGATTTCCCCTCTATTCTCATTCTGGTGACCACTCAAAATTTAGATTTCCTTTACTTTCGCTCTCATTGATAACAGTCACCAGGAGAAATATAGTGTTTCCAGCCCGCCCCCAACAGGGGCCGGCAGCAATAAACACTGACAGGAGTTCTAACCCACCCCACGCATATATGTCCATGGTTTCTGTGCCGAAATCGCACTCCTTGCAGTCACAGATGGTCGGGAGCCAGTGTGGCTAGCTTCTGATTGTGTGACTACTGTGACAGCCAATCACTGTGGCCATGTGGTTAAGCAGTTCTTCATAAGGGAGTAAAGGTTCAATTAAAGGGATGGCTGGGCAAGAAGGGGTTAATGACAACAAGCACAGCGGTCTAACAGGATTTTCTACACATGTAAATGACAGAATCGTGTGAAGAAAATAAATGCCTAAACCATCGTCGTAGCATGCTAATGTGCTGTATTCAGCAATCACACCACACAAGGCAGGCCCACGTGGCCTCCTCACAGCCTGTGGAAGTGTCTCTGCAGGCTGGGATCACTAGGACTCCTGGCCTTGTGGCGTGTGCAGTGAGGATACAGATATAACACCGTCTATTACAGCAGATTTGTCTAAATATTCGTATACCTTCTTCTTCTCCAAGCCACCCATCCCGTCTCGCTGAGCAGACCTCCCCGGAACAACACACGTGTAGTCCACACACTGTGCTCAGGACCCCTGTGGCCACCCGCGACGTGCCTGACGAAAAAAAGAAACAGGCATATTGCATGGCGCCTCAAAGGGGCCTTTCTTGTATTAGACTTCCTGTGACCAGTTTAGTGTGTGACTGAACTGTGATGTAATGCTTGTTTCACTCTATGAAGTCATGTGATTGTTCCCTTATATGCAACAGAAGGTTGATTAACATGACAAAGGAAAGGTTTAAACATAACTGTAAATATACAAACCCAATCACTTACATCTCCCATCAATTTCAAAATGTGTTTTAAATCTGTATTCCAGGAAACGAAAACTCTTCCCTTGAAGGAGTACTGTGCCCACACTGCAGGGGTTAATGTACAGTTAGGTCCATATATATATTTGGAGAAGGGAATAAAAGAAAGAGCGCACAAACCTTGCGCATTAACCTTTGATCACCAGTGGATGAACACACTGTTATTAACGTTCGTTCGTTCAGAGTCCTTGAGCGCAGGAGATAGTGGATGTTTGGTGACCGTATATATTTGGACACAGGCACCATTTTAGTTTTTTCAGGTATTTACCAAAACATATTCAAGCTATAATTATATAATGGATATGGGCTGAAAGTGCACACTCTCAGGTTTAATTCGAGGGTATGTACATCCAAATTGGAGGAAGGGGTTAGAAATTACAACTCTTAAGCCCCCGTTTACATCAAGCCCGACTTTGAAATCGTGCAACTTACACTGAAGTCGCACAATTTCAAATTTGGGGGACCCACCGATTTCAAGTGCGATTTGCAAGACATCTGATACAGATGTCTATGCAATTCACACCAAAAGTAGTGCATGTACTACTTTTGAAATTGTTGCAGCTCCAACTAAGTCGGAACTGCACCGATATGACTGCTCCTATTGCGGGAAATAGGGTGCGTCTTGGCATGCAATTTGCAAGTCGCATGACATGCAAATTGCATGCCAAGTTGCACCGATGTGAATGGGGTATAAGAGTAGCCAACCCCCTCTTTCAAGGGACCAAAAGTAATTGGACAATTGAATCAAAATCTGTTTCATGGCCAGGTGTGGGCTACTCCTTCCTTATTTCTTCATCAATTAAGCACGTAAAAGGTCTGGAGTTGATTCTAAGTGTGGTATTTACATTTGGAATCTATTGCTGTGAACCTACATCATGCATTCGAAGGAGGTGTCCATGTAAGTAAAAACAATCTATTGTAAGGCTTAAAAAATGAAACAAATCCATCAGAGAGATAGTGTCAGGGCTCCGGGTATGACCAGACCAGAGGTATGTGAACTGACGCAGGGAAACGCAGGCTTCAGGTATGTTATAAACAATATAATTTATTAATACTAACAATACAAAACGCAGTGCAATACTAAAACATAAACACAGTGCAAACGAACCAAACCAAACCACCCACAGATAACAATACATACAATGCAAGCGTTGTCAGGCAGGCGGGTCAATAACAATCGGGCAGGTAGGAACAGGAGGAGCAGGCAGAGAGTAGTCAGGTCACGAGCCGGGTACAGCAACTAACGGGCAGGTAGGTACAGGGGGTCAGGCAGAGAATGGTCGGGGTCACAAGCCAGGGATCAAACAGGAGAAGTCAGCAGAGGTCAGGATCAGGCAGGGTCGGCAACGAGTCAGTCAGTCAGGCAGGAACAGAAACAGGAACAGGAATGCAGGTAACAAGATACAGGGGCCCATGGAAAAAAAACACACACCAAGGCACAGACTGCAGGTCTGGCCATCCCTTAAATACACCTGCAATCAGCCTCAGGTGTTTGGCTGACTGCAGGGTTGAGTCTCTGATTGCTGAGAGCACCTGCTGGCCAGCCCTGGTACTGCAGCCCACAAGGCAGGTGAGTCCCACCATTATTGGCAAGTCCATTCCTGACAGATAGCAGCAACATTAGGAGTGGCAAAATCAACAGTTTGGTACATTCTGAGGAAAGAACAACGCACTGGTGAGCTCAGCAACATAAAAAGGCATGGACATCCACAGAAGACAACAGCGGTGGATGATCGCAGGATCCTCTCTATGGTAAAGTAAAAACCCATTCACAACATCCAGACAAGTGAAGGACACTCAGGAGGTGAATGTATCATCGCCAAAGTCTACAATCAAGAGAAAGACTTCACGAGAGCAAATACAGAAGGTTCACCACAAGGAGCAAAGCATTCTTAAGCCCGAAGAATAGAAAAACCTGATTAGACTTTGCCAAAAAATATCTAAAAAAGCCAGACCAGTTCTGGAAAAGCATTCTTTGGACGGATGAAACTAAGATTAATCTGTACCAGAATGACGGGAAGAAAAAATTGTGGAGAAGGCTTGAAACAGCCGGATGAATTCTGCACTGTTTAGAGATATACTGTCAGCCCAGATTCAACCAAATGCAGCAAAGTTGATTGGACGGCACTTCACAGTACAGATGGACAATGATCCAAAACACACTGCAAAAGCAACCCAGGAGCTTTTGAAGGAAAAGAAGTGGAATATTCTGCAATGGCCGAGTCAGTCACCTGATCTCAACCAAATTGAGCATGCATTTCACTTGCTGAAGGCAAAACTAAAGGCAGAAAGACCCACAAAGAACAACTGAAGACAGCTGAAGTTGGAGCCTGGCAAAGCATCAGAAAGGAAGAAACCCAGTCTTTGGTAATGTCCATGAGTTCCAGACTTCAGGCAGTCATTACCAGTAAAGGATTCTCAACAAAATATTAAAAATGAACATTTTATTTATGATTATATTCATTTGTCCAATTACTTTTGGTCCCTTGAAAAAGGAGGGATTGCTACTCTTAAGAGCTGTAATTCCTAACCCCTTCCTCCAATTTGGATGTACATACCCTCAAATAAACCTGAGAGTGTGCACTTTCAGCCCATATCAATTATATAACTATAGCTTGAATGTGTTTTGGTAAAATACCTGGAAAAAAAAAAATTTTTTGCCTGTGTCCAAATATATATGGACCTAACTATATAACTAATGGCAAAACTTTTTTTTTTTTTACTTTTGATTATAAGAGAGGGACTAGAACACCTGTCAGGTGTTTTATTGCTGTCTGTGGCCTCCCTATTGAGATTCACCCTCTCTATTTGTCCTGTTTACTGTTATTGTCAAAAGTAAAAGAAAATGACTAAACCTGGAGGATTTCCCCTCTATTCCTGTTCTGGGGATAACCCAAATAGGGACACTAGTTCTGATGACAACCAAGGATTTCTTCGCTTTGGTGAGATTTCCTCTCACTTGTGGCTATGGGACAGTAAGTGAAGAGAAATCTCCCCTATGGGGCACAGATGACGAAAAAAAAAAACCTGATGGGTTATAAACCTCCCTTACCCTATCTAACCTCCATGTCACTGACACTGCCCCCCCCCCCCCCCGTCACTGACACTGTCCTCTCCATGTCATTGCCACTGCCCCCCCTTACTGCCCACTGCCCCCCCTATGTCACTGACACTGCCCCCCTATGTCACTGACACTGCCCCCCCATGTCACTGACACTGCCCCCCCCCACCCATGTCACTGACACTGTCCTCTCCATGTCACTGCCAATGTCCTCTCCATGTCACTGCCACTGCTCCCTCATGTCACTGTCACTGCAACCTCCATGTCACTGACACTGCCCCCCCCCCCCCATGTCACTGCCACTGCTCACCCCCATGTCACTGTCACTGCTCCTGCATATTACTGCCCCCCCTCATGTCACTGACCCCCCTCATGTCACTGACACTACCCCTCCATGTCACTGACACTGCTCCCCCATGTCACTGACACTGCCCCCCCATGTGCCTGACACTGCCCCCCCCATGTCACTGCCACTGCTCACCCCCATGTCACTGTCACTGCTCCTGCATGTTAATGCCCCCCCTCATGTCACTGACCCCCCTCATGTCACTGCCACTACCCCTCCATGTCACTGACACTGCTCCCCCATGTCACTGACACTGCCCCCCCCATCTGCCTGACACTGCCCCCCCCCCCATGTCACTGCCACTGCTCACCCCCATGTCACTGTCACTGCTCCTGCATGTTAATGCCCCCCCTCATGTCACTGACCCCCCTCATGTCACTGACACTACCCCTCCATGTCACTGACACTGCTCCCCCATGTCACTGACACTGCCCCCCATGTGCCTGACACTGCCCCCCCCCCCATGTCACTGACACTGTCCCCCCACCCATGTCCTCTCCATGTCACTACCACTGTCCTCCCATGTCACTGCCAATGTCCCTCCATGTCACTGCCACTGCTCCCCCATGTCACTGACACTGCCCCCCCCATGTCACTGCCACTGCTCACCCCCATGTCACTGTCACTGCTCCTGCATATTACTGCCCCCCCTCATGTCACTGACACTACCCCCCATGTCACCATGTCACATGTCACTGACACTGCTCCCCCATGTCACTGACACTGCCCCCCCCATGTCACTGCCACTGCTCACCCCCATATCACTGCTCCTGCATGTTAATGCCCCCCCTCATGTCACTGACCCCCCTCATGTCACTGACACTACCCCTCCATGTCACTGACACTGCTCCCCCATTTCACTGACACTGCCCCCCCATGTGCCTGACACTGCTCCCCCATGTCACTGTCACTTCACCCTCCACGTCACTGACACGGCCCCCCTGTAGCAATCGTGCACACAGAGATGGACGCGGTCCTCCATTTTGTTAAAAACCCTTCCATGTTGCATCAGCTCTCCCCCTCCCAAAGCAGGCTTTCTCCTCCAATCATCCCCCCTCCTTCTCTGTTGAGTGACTTATGGTCTGGGTGATGACAGAGGTCACAGGCTGTCAAGGCACAGCAGGGGAGCTCCAGAACTATAGAACCCCCAACAGAGCTGGGGCCTAGCTGTCTGTTAGCTGAGCAATCTGGAATATCGTAAAAGAGTAAAACAAGTCCGTCACTGAGTTCAAAGACATTCCAGAGAAGTC